ACCACTTCGGTGAAACCCACGAGCACGGGTATGGTGCTGACAAACCTAGAAACATAATCGGGGCGAAGCCGGATTCGAACCCACAATCATAGGTTTCTGGCATGCCCAAGGGACGCAACTCTGCACAGCGAATCGCGGCGCCTTAGACGACTGGGCCACCCGTGCCCCCCATAAAAGGATAACTGCTACATAAAGAAGTTATGAAGATAAGTCATTAATACGCACAAGCAATGTTACAGGTTAGAACGTATCAGATCATAACTAAATGTGTAACTCTCCAGATGGGAATGTGTATTTTTCTCCAGCAAAAATGTGTTCCCTTTTCAGAAAAAAGCTGTCAATGGCGTCCCTTCCTAGCGTATCAACGATTTTGCTTGCAGTTAGTCTCATGAAAGGTATTTCAGGCTTAACATTAAAAGAATAACTGCACAAGTATTAGCAATTAGCATTTCTCCCTGTATATAATTCTTATCTTACATCTGATGTCACGTACACATTGTACGGTGTAACATACTATTATCGAGGAAAGATTGCAGCTGTGATGTTCTTATTCCCATTATCACAAAATATATATGAGTCATGGAAATGTTTTTCAGCTGTTATAAGGACAAGATTGAAAGCTGTAGATAAACCGGATTAGCTCTTACTATGATTCTTGATTTGTCAGCACCATACCCGTGCGCGTCAGAGACTTGTCATACAGAGATCTCGGAAGCCTTGAAATAACTGAAATACTGATTAAAGCAGCGTGCATCCCAAATTGCATTTTGCATCATCTTTAGAGTAACATCAGGAAAAGTCCTATGTGAGTATGTTCCGTGTTTTGCATGTTTATTTCCAGATGTTGAAGGAGCAGTGACAGTATCCGGGTCAGGAGGTACAGGGATACCCAACCTTCAGGCTCTGACACTGAGATGCAACTACACTGTGACACCAGGGGATGTTGTTACTTCATTCACATGGAGGAGGGTGGAGGGCAACTCTCCAGTGAGCATAGTCTCAGGTTCAGTGACTCCCCAGACAGCCAGATTCCTGGACTCCTGGCAGAACAAGGGTGTGTTTGTTGGTGACTACACCTCCTCCCTGGACATCCAGCTGCCTGCCAGTCACGTGACATCCAGCTATTCCGGGACATACAGGTGTGAAGTGACTGGGCTGTCAGATACTGGACAAGTGAATGTCACTGCCTCTGTGTTGAGTAAGTATATGATGGTCATTATTATGGATAGAAGAGTCAATGGGTGACCTCCAATTATGCCAGGAATACCATTTGTTAGATACCAGACACATGGATGGAATTGCCTTTGTTGTGGTGTATGCAAGTTTGTTATTATGAATCTACGTGTGTGTGTGTGTGTGTGTGTGTGGGGAGGGGGGGGGGGGTGGGGGGGGGGGGGGTGGGGGTGGGGTGGGGGGGGGTGGGTGGGGGTGGGGGTGGGGGTGGGGGTGGGGGGGGGGATGTTAAATGCCGCATTCAGCAATATTCCAGCTTTCTGGCGATGGTCAGTAAAGGATCGAGTCTGGAACGGACAATCCAGTGACTGACATCATGAACATCGATACGCGATACGATGACAAGTCAGCGACCCTGGTCACCCGATCCCGTTAGTCGCTTCTTTTCTAAAACAAATGCCTGAATGAATGGGGAAATGTTGGTGTCTATGTTTACAATAAGACAAATTAAAATATCAATAATTTCGAGAAGGCCTGCCTTCCGAATTTTAAATGTTCACACTGTTTCACAAATTTGCTTGAATGGTGAACACATGAATATTTCCAAGGCGAGTGAGAGTGAGTATGGTCTTATGCCGCTGTAAGTAATATTCACGGCGGGGGACACCATAAATGGGCTTCACACATTTTGCTCATGTTGGGAATTGAACCAGGGTCTCCCGCGTGACGAGCGAACGCTTTAACCAATAAGCTACCTTACCGCCCCTTTCCAAGACGAGGGTGGTAGCTTCAACTGGTGTAGGGGCGGTCGGGTAGCCTAGTGGTTAAAGCGTTTGCTCGTCACGCCGATGACCCGGGTTCGATTCCCGACACGGGTACAATGTGTGAAGCCCGTATACAGGTAAATGCATGTGTTAATTCCCTAACTACACTATTTAAATTATTAAGTCCGATGGGCAGATTGTGAGGCACGGATGACCAGCCATCTTCAGCACTGTTGAGCTGCGATCGCGATCTGTTGATCTAGGTATCGAATCGGAAGCGGTGTTAAATTAAGTTTCACCAAGAAAAAATACAGTACTGATCGAAGTGGCGCTACCCATAACTCACTTATTCCTTTATTCAGGAATTATGTTTTACTTATGTGGTGTTTTATGTGTACTTCATATGTTATGTGTTTTGTTATTCTGTATGTTCCCAAGTATGATTATTTTTTGTGCTCCTCTTATTCCTTTATTTTTCCCTATATCAAAATTCTGTATCTCCAATCTGTTTTTGCTTTTATCGTATATTTCTAGTGTAGTTTATCTTACAATTTTCTCTGATATTAAAATATAATTATTAAATCCACACTTTGTGGGTCGTGTAAAATGCATCATTTAAAACGATATTTTGGGGATGATGTAATACCAAATACGCTGTGTACATCCTTTAAACGAGTTGGGTTAGCAGTGTTCCATCTATAACATCTATAAGGAACTTGTCAGATAATACACATGGTGTTTCCGTCAAATGACATATACGAGTATGTAAATATCGCTCTAAATAGTTGATATGGTATAAAAGAACCTCATTCTATAGCTATTTCACACCTGTAATTTATTGATCCCTTAATAAATTCTTCAGCATTCTTTTTTCAATACAATATATGATCATTTGTTATGAATCATTATTAGGAATATGTGTGACATTTATCGCAAAACAAAAGCTCCAAGTTATGTCTTTAAGTATCATGTGATGTGTAAACAGTTATTATTGTATAACATCAAGTGAAAGAACCGTTAAATTGTTGTCGGAACTGCACGAGCTGTATTAACATGAGATACCACATATGAAATGAATATTCGAACAAACAGATGTCCTATCAATATCTGGCCTGCCGTCTAATCGAATCATCCCGTCTCAGGATAGACTGTAGTACCTACACCATGTTCTTTCAGCTATTCCATCAATATCTGGCCTGCCTCCCACCTACACAGTGATCGAGTCATCCCGTCTCAGGATAGACTGTAGTACCTACACCACACCCGGCAACCCTCCAACAACAAGGTACACCTGGATCTATGGTGGTTCTACTGTCAGTACTGGGGCTGTACTTGACAGAAGCAGCATCAGTAGAAGTCAGGGAGGAAGCTACACCTGTGCTGCCAGCAACACTCGGGGGTTTGACTCGGCCTCAGTCAATGTGGATGTACAGTGTGAGTAATTGCGACACCGAAAGTAAATTTGTTTGTTGTTCTTATTGTATAAATTGTATAAATACGATTATTATTATTTTTGTTATTATTATATAAATTGTATATTGAAAAAATCATGCCATAACAGTTTACATAGCAGAGTGGTAGGAGTCATGCATGTTTACTGGATAATAACCAGTGAACGAACATGTCTAATGTTCAACAGCAGTCAATATGGATTTCTTATTTCCATTTTTCAGATTCTCCTTTTATACCTGGACTTCCAACAGTGCAGAATGTCACATAGTTCTCTAATCTAAGGATAGACTGTAGTATCTACACCACACCAGGCAACCCTCCAACAACAAGCTACACCTGGACCTATGGTGGTGCTACTGTCAGTACTGGGGCTGTACTTGATAGAAGCAACACCAACAGGAGTCAGGGGGGAAGCTACACCTGTACTGCCAGTAACACGCTGACACCAAGTGGGGGATCTCAACAAAAGGGAACGGCAGCATTCCAGGTCAATGTGAACGTTCAATGTGAGTCACAAAATTGCATGTTAATTTGTTACAGATTTTATAGGGTACCAAAGCCATATTTCGTATTTCGTTTTAATGGATTATGACCTGGTTTGACAGTATCTCTGTTTAAACAGAATCTGAGGAAACTGTATTTGTAGTTATGTTACTACTTGTAAATTTAAGTGTCACCACTATCTAGGTTGACATGGCTACAATAGCATTATCTATCATACCAAGCAGTTTGCCATGCTAATTACAAGTGCTGGGTAAAGTGTGGACAACAGTTCCATTGTTTGCTTGTTGACAAGTAGTATGTACAATACATATATTTAAATCGTATTTACTATGCAGATATATTATATTTACCATTTAGGTGGACCCGCTTTGGCATATCAGCTGAATCGGCTTATTAACTTTAAATTATCTATTTATTCAATACGACTGCAATATGAATGAACAGTAAAATGTAGCTTTACATGTTCCTCGCACTCCATTACACAGCCAAATCATTGTTTAAAGCAGAGCAAAACGCAGTTCACTCCCTCACAATCCAAATAAATCACAAGCCTCATCACGAGCGTCAAAAGCAGGGAGACAAGCTATATGCGAATTAAATGATGTCTGACAAATTGTCAAGCACTTTCAAGTTGCACTCCTGAGGCAACTCAGTATGACCGCTCAAGGATAACAACAGTTGTTTTGTTCTTGCTACCACAAACACAGCTATTTTTTTTGACAAAACTCCAAAACTTTAATGCAATGTCGATGTGGCTTTAATAATGAATGTTGATGTTGAATTGCTTTTAATAGTGATTCATAAATTAAATATTTCAACGTGATTTCAATGATCATTCTCGATTATCTTCCAAAACAGATTCCACTGGGCGTAAACAACGAATAGCGATGTTTTTTGTATGAATGATATTGTATGATTGTACATAGATTTATGCTTTTGTCATGAATATGGAAATGGGTTTGTTGCCTTTATATAGATGCATATGCAGGTAAGAAGGTTAAATCTCATTTCAAAAGGCTACAATATTTCGATCAAGAGTTGATCCATGAAGTTTCAATTGGCAACACACAATTTGATGTCCATAATCTTTTCATACAATTGTTCATTAATTTGATGTAAACACCGACGTAAGAAACCGAGTTTCTGGTAAACTCCTGAGAAACATAAAAAGAATCACAGCCATGGTTAATTTGCACATGTATACAGAAGCCAGTTTTTTTTGCATTCATTTATTGTTTTGACTGCATATTAGTGACAGAATACATGAATACAAAGTCGCTTGGACCTATTACAGCGAACTATTGATATGCAGACACACCTCTAACGATTGCAACCTTAGCTAGCGGAAGTTAAGGACCTTCTACATTGATCTTTGAATCTGCCTCCCAGACCTAGTCACTACATTTGTTATGATTACCTCAAAACAACCGGGTAATTGTGACTGAGACAATAAATAGCCTTCACCTTTGGACTGACTTATGGTCAATCAATGTGTTATCAAATATTGTAATTGATTTGTGGGGTAGTTCATATGAAAACAACCTGCTATTCAAAGGATGATATTGTTCAGGGTACTGAAAGCTCAAAACGGTGTCACTGAAGAGTACACGGTCACATACTGTATATACTATCCAGGATCTGTATATTTTTCCCCCTGGTACATCGCCAATAAACGGGATAGTCAGTAATGCATTTGCACCACACTGACTGCTATAATACTTAACAGGTCAATTTGTGCTATGTTACATGTCTCCTGGAACCAGGGAAATATATCTAGATAACATGTTTTTCTACAAAAAGGGTTCTACTTAGGTAAGGTAAGGTAAGGTAATAAATGGTTTGGTATCACTGCGTAGTTTTGAACATTGTGACGGGTCATCTTTTGATATCAACCATTGAGGGACCGCGTACTGCCCAACACACACACCCTATCCATATTCATGAAAAATGTCTGCTTAAACAATGCTGTTTATGAATTATTGTCAAATAGAGATGATACCTTGTGTTCGTGAAATATTGAGCGTACCCAGGCCCACCGGTGGCATCCGTTACAAACACATGCACGTTAATTGTTTACCTGAAAAATTAGGGGCTCATATGCTGCTTGTTAAAATCGGGAATTATATGGGGTATCGTTTTTGTCACATTACATTTGGAAATGTCCTATGCATGTCGACCATAAAAAATTTGAATGCTTTACTGAGGTGAGGTGAGGTGAGGTGAAATGGGGTTTATCGTCGCGCCCAAGATTATTGCATTTATATAGCGACATGCATGCACGTGGATGTATGTGTGTGGCTGCTTGTACTAGTCTGGACTGATGCCGATTTATAGTGCTAGCACACTGAAATACCATGCCGCAGTTTAACATGAATACCCCACTCAGACACAGTATACTGACTCCGAGCCGACCAGTCCTTGTTTGAGCCACTTAATGCCGAGCGCCAGACAGGGTAACAACAAGTAACGTCCATCTTTTAACGTCTTTTGGTATGACGCGGCTAGGGATCGAACCCCAGACCTTCCGCTCTCCGGGCGGACGCTCTACCATCCTCTTACACAGATCATGTTTGAAAGCCCTTAAAAGTTGGGAAATGTAGACATCAAAGGCTAGAGCTGATGAAATTTGTCATCCCATCTTGTCGTACACTGCTCACCATTCAGAAAGAAAAAACACGCTGTAAATATTGGTCTCACAAGCAAACCTCAATAATGGATTTGTTCACATACCTTTTCGGGTGTTCACATGCCCGTGGTAAGGCTCACAAAAAAGTCAAAAGTCAATGACTGAGTGTTTATTATGCATTAAGTTCTACACAACTTCCTTCCATGACAAATGTGTATTATACATAGGAAAATATTGACAGTGTAATGTTAAGAATTTGTCCTGGTCACTTGCCGAAAATATCCAGTTGGTGCAGGGCGCTTCATAAGGCAACTTGAATATTTGATCATGTATTTGAAAATGACCTATATATGCTTTCCTTACTTGTCCACTTGCAGTCAGTATACAGGAGTCCAATATCGTTTATTACATAAACGTTGATCCTACATATTCCAGAATATATCATAGTCTGCATTGTTGCAGTATTTTCCAAAATATAACGCAAAGGTAAACCCAGAAGTCGGTATGCACGGGCCTAAGTTGTGAAATCAGTAAATGATCTCAATAAATAATCAAGTTGTTTTTGTAACATTTCTGGTGCGTTTTCAATGCTGTTCAGTATATATTTTTAATGGCAACTTTAAAAAAAACAAAACATTCGCTTGTGCGAATATATTTTAACAAACAGTTTTAGATGTTCAAACATTAACTAAACTAAATTAGTTTTACATAACTCTCCCCCTTCAAGACAAGAAAATCTGAATGTAGTGAAAAAAAGAAAAAAGGAGAAAGTTTACATACATACAAAACGTCAAAGCTAAAGAAAAACCAGTCTCGGTTTTCTAACAAAATAGATTCAGTTGGGTGTAAAAAGAAAAGTAGACGGCGAAAATTATCCGAATTGATCACTGAAAATCAGTGACACAATGTGTTTGCAAAAACGGGTACAAATGTCCTGACCAACCGGTAGAACCCGCCACTGACACAATTTGCACAACAAAATGTGTTTGTTGCCTGACACCACACAGCAGTTATACAGCGTGTAAACAAATAACATACTGTACTATTAAAAAGACATTAAACACATGCCTCTTTTAGTATTAGCAAAACTGCCTTCGTGTACTGATCCAATCAACTGACTCTAAAAGTCACTGACACTAAT